ACTATGGCACCTTGCTTATTCAATGAAATAACAACAAATCATTCTTGTATATTTTGTATGATTACATTTATTATTGATAGTGTGAGTCGTCGACAATGGCAGAGAGAGAGAGACTTTGAGTTAAATATGATATGTCAGATTTACGAGTGTTTAGGTTATACCACGAGGAATGTTGAGTGGTAATGGTAAAGTGTTATTTTAGAACAAAGTAAGGGCGCTGTGTCGCTTGGATGATATATATAGTTGTATTGTTGATGTATTAATTGAACCTTTCATATAAACCTTGATAATTGCATGTATTATAACTGTAGTTACCGTCTTATCGACGAGTCTTGGTGCGTGTTCTGTAGTGTGATGGAGGCTGCCATTGTTGTGAGAGTGCGCATGTACGGAGAGTGACAGTTGTTACGTATTTCCGGTCTTAGAGTTGCGATCACCGAATAGCGGGAGTTTATGAATGTTCGAGTTCGGTAAATAAACGCGATGTTTATTTACAGTTATTCGATTGGTTGTTTATTCTAGGACCGACATACGACGTTTTGATTTGTTGTTGTGCTTGAGAGTGAGTATAAAAGAGCGAGCGTTTGTATTTTCGTGAGACTTACAGACTTATAGACTTACAGACTTTTAGACATAGAGATTTATCGACTTTTATGTATACACTTAGACTTCTTTATTCGGACATCATTTATACTTCTTTCGGCCTTTGAAACCTAAATTTACATAACTTATTCAGTCTCATAACTTTGTCACTTTCATTAGGAAAGCTTTATATATATATTATATTCTACTCATACGTGGATTTCTTACCGGAATAACAGTACCGGAGACTTCAGTGTCGAGACCTAGGATAAGGTTAGTGTGTTTGTTGTATGACTACTATGTAAAGATTCGTGTGCAGGATATTCAGAATAACATACTATATATGTGTCATTTAATAAAATCAGTCTATGTGGTACACAAAACTTGAGTTTACTTAATACTTCATGTTAGTTCTACAAAGTACGCTACCAGTACTACGGTTCAAGTCGAGCGTTACCAGCTGGCTTTTGCGAGTCTTGTGTAAGATCGTTGTTTTGCGCTACCAGCA